CCCCCCCCTCCACCGTTCGATCCATTTTGGGTCTCACGCCGGAGAGTTTTGGGGTGTCTTAGCTCTAAGTCCTCCACCACCCAATGGGGGACTTGAGTATTTTTTTAATGCCGTACCAATAGGCATTAACCTTAGGTAAGCTTGTGCTTACTTTGGACTGCACCCTCCTCATCCTCTGGGGGAGGTAGAGAGGGGGGGGGGCGCATGGCCTCTATTTTTCAGGGGGGGTTCGGGTACTGGTTGGGGGTCGGTTCTATGTGTACTGCATCCGGGGGGGCGGCTTGATTTACAACGTCGTTGCCAAGCAACGAAAAACCAACCCCGATGGCATGTGAAGGTCGTACACCAATCAAGCTATTATACATTGGAACGCGTAGTAGCTGAATGTCTGCCTGTATTGTTCAACCGCCCGTTGCTACGAAAACAACCCATCCACAGGTCTGTCATGACGATTCTGGCTGCGGTCTACCGGCGCATGAGGCCAAACGACCCCAGAGACTTCGTGCAAGACTCTTGGGCCTCGGGGAGACGCACTTCCCTTCGACGTACCAGCTTCAACTCGTACTAAATTAATTCGAAGAGGGTCTTTCAAAGCTGGATCCGACCAGTGCATGATCACCGGACATTCACGCTTTGTTTGGCGCTCTTACTGATTTCGTGTTGAGTATCACCAATAGACGAACCTACGAAGGACCACCCTTCCAGACAAACCCAGAGGTTTGTGCTGAAATGAAGTTTTTTGTTTGTTTTTTGTTTGTTTTTCTCCCATCATTGGATTCTGTCGTCTGCCCCTCTGGCCCCTATCCTCCACTTCTACTAGCTAGACGACCCAACCGGAGTCACATAGGAGGGGGGGGTTGGACCCCCTCCTGCGGTTCCTGCCTGAGATATTTTTATCGCGAGAAGGGTACAGCAATCCCTTCCCTCGCGACTTATGAAGTCGATCAAGTTTACTAACAACGAGCTTTCTTTGCAGCGCGTCGCTTCCAACGGAGACCAGGATTTTATAAGCAGCGAGAAAAAAACTCACTCTGTCGGGGCAATGAAGTATTTTCCGTGGAAGGTCTGTGACGCCAGCCAGATAGAAAACACGTTCGTTCAGTGAAAGGAGAATACGAACGAACACGCACGCACGTTGTTGGTGGTGTCTACGATGTGATCACGAAGTGAAATGATTGTAGCGCCGAGAGGGATACAAGTAGATCCCCGATGCACCTAAGCTTTCTATTTTCAAGGAAGGAAAGCGTCGTCTAGGCACGCAAGATAAAACATTTTCTCCAATTCTAGGCCCATGTTTATGGTTTCCAAGTCTTCATCTTCCTTTCTTTGGACAAATGTTGGCTTTTTCGACCTTGTGGGCAGTCTGCCTGCCGAACGAATCCGAATCAGCTGTTCGACCTTTGAGAACAGTCACAGCTTTGGCTGAGATGTCTACAGATCGCCAACATTTTTCGCCAGGGCCCAGCAAGTTTGATTTTTTCAAGATGCACAATTGTCACGCAAGATTTTTCGAACACCAGCTTTTTTTGGACAGATCTTGGCCCAAGATTTGCTCCGAGGTGGCCTTTCGGCCGAATCTTCAACATCATCTTGCTCTGCTGGAAAAAAATCAAACGTGGACCCTGGCGAAACAAATAGTAGGCGGTCTGTATGCATCTCAGGCAAAGCTGTGACTGTTCTCAAAGGTCGAACAGCTGATTCGCATTCGTTCGGGAGGCAGACTGCCCACAAGGTCGAAAAAGCCAACATTTGTCCAAACAAAGGACGACAAAGATTTGGAAACCATAAACATAGGCCTTGTATGAGAAAAAAAATCAAATCTCGCATGATGATGACTGGTAGTCGACTGGGCCTCAAACTGCTGTATAGTTCGTGTTTGCCTCGATGGACCACGCAAGTCTCACTTTCTTCACCTGAAAGGTTTTGGCACTACTGGACTAACCGCGAACGTGGAGGGCGCGTTGTATTTGGAATAGTCTCTTGTACAAATAAATAGGGTGTGTGGGTCACAAGCTCGACGCACACATGATGGTAAAATTGCTACATAGACTAGTGGCGGGTCAAAGCACACTCCAAATAAAAATACAGCAGTTGATTGTGCCGCACACTATCGCCGCAGACAAAAAACATACTCCGCACATACATATGCATACTAAACTGAGAATATGTTTGTAAACTGATGGAGATTGCATGTGTTAGAACTAATAGGGTGCGACACACAAAACGCCCGACTACCCAACAGTACCCAACACCTTTCGTCTGCACCTTCCCAACATAACATATATGAGACACACAAGACAGCTACCAAACTGATTTGTTGAGCCTGTTACCCACAGGGGAGATGTCCCTATATGCTGTCTGGGAAATCGTAGACACACAGGTAGTTTTTCTCTGACGCTATGATTCCATTGTTAATCTGTCTCTGACTCTTTTCTATGATAGAGATGGACTCGTTGTGTCATATTAAGAAAAATAAAAAAAAACGAGCTCCATCCATCCATTTCACCCCATCATCGGGTGCATACAATGTCGGCGTGACCCTCACTAGCAGCATGAGAGGGAGGCCCATGACTTCTCATCGCACATGATGGGATGAGAGAAGCTGTATTCCTTGTTACACAAGCGCTGTACGTTTCTGTCGAGCGCGCCCTCGTTCCTTCTCCTCGCAGAAGCTGTTAGGCCCAAAACAATATACTCCGAGTATACGAGTATGAAGATGCGGCGTGTTCTCGCATCGGCCCTGCGTGATAACTTCCTTCGTGTCCCAAGCTCGGCACTGCACTGTTCGTTCCTCTGTTTATAAAAAGGGAAAACGACACAACAGGGTATACCCTGGTCGAAAAGCGACACAACTGGGTACACAGTCATTAACAGCAGAAAATGCGCTTATTTGAATGGTCACCGCCCAATTTCACCCCGGTGCGTCGCTTTTCGACCAGGGTATACCCTGCCGTG